GAGAGAGAATCATAGATTGGCTGCCTCCTGCACATCCCAGACTGGGGATCAAGCCTGCAACCCGGGCATGTGCACCAACTGGGAATTGAACCATGACCTCTTGGTTCATAGGTCGATACATAGTCACTGAGCCATGTGGGCCAGGCTCTTCATTTTTTTTTTTTAATGTTTTCTATGTGTGTGTTTTTTTTTCATTCTGATTTTCACAGCCAGATGTTATATGGGCTCCTCTTTCCAGCTCTGGTGCTCTGGGCTGGTATGCTTGGTGTGGGGTCAGAACCCCACACTCCTGAGGGGGAGCCTTTGTAGCCGAGATACCCTCTAGAACAGCCGTGGGCAAACTACGGCCCGCGGGCCAAATCCGGCCCGTTTTAAATGAATAAAACTATTGAAAAAAAAGAGCGTACCCTTTTATGTAATGATGTTTACTTTGAATTTATATTAGTTCACACAAACACTCCAGCCATGCTTTTGTTCCGGCCCTCTGGTCCAGTTTAAGAACCCATTGTGGCCCTCGAATCAAAAAGTTTGCCCACCCCTGCTCTAGAATTTCAGGTACCACAAAAAGGGAATGGGACCAGCCCTTTTTGTGTCTCCACTCTTTCTACCAGTCTCGGTGTTGTTTCTTCTGTAAATCCTTGATTATAAGACTTCTCTTCATCTAATCTTCAGTTGGTTATGCAGTTTGATTATTCTTTATTTTAGTTGTAATTTCAATTTGGTTCTGGGAGGGGGTGAGTGTACCTTCTACCTACTCCGCCACTATTTTGAATCTCTTCTCTTTTATTTCTGATTTTAATTGAGTCCTGTCTCTTTTTTTCTTGGTAAGTCTAGCTAAAGGTGTGTCAGTTGTTTATCTTTTAAAAGAATCATATCTTAATTTTGTTGACCTTTTCAGTCTTTGTTTGGCATTTATTTCTGCCCTGATCTTTTTTATTTCCTTCCTTCTGCTAACTTTGGGCTTTATCTTTTTTTCTAGTTCTTTGAGATATAAAGTTAGGCTATTGGAGACTTTTGTTGTTTCTTGATGTAGGCGCTTGTCTCTATAAACTTCCCTCCTAGAACTGCTTTTATCACATTCCATAAGTTTTGGGATGTTGTATTTCCATTTTCAGTTGTCTTGGGGGTACTTTTTTCCTCTTTTTATTTCTTCTTTGACCCATTAGTTGTTCAGCTCATTATTATGTTTTGATTTATTAATTTCTTGAGCCTTTTTTTTCTCACAAAATTTCATAACTCATATCCTTCTAAAGTTACTATGCAGTGTACAATATTTTCTTTTAGTTTTCTTGAAGTTACTACTTGGTATTTCTACTTTTTTACTTTACAGTTCAGTTCTCATTCCATTCTATTTCCAGCTCCTTATTTGAAGCTAACCAGTGGGTTTAGAATGGCAGTCAGTTGTAGTAAAAAGAGTTCAGAATATTTAGTTAGAATTAGACAGCTAAAGTGTCTGTTTCTGTCATTTACTCACTGTACAACTCTAGGAAAATATGTTTGTTACTCCATATGTCATCTAAGGACCAATAATAGTGAGTATTACCTGGTAGTTTGTTAGAAATGCAGAATTTGAGATTCCACCCCAGACCTGCTGAATTAGAATCTAAGATCTTTACATTGACCAACACTGTTAAGTCGTTATCATTGAAACTTAATTTTTTTATTTGTAAAGTACAGCTAATATTTGCTGGATGTATCAGTCATTTTGCTACCATATGTTTTGCCAATTTACTTACTGTCTGTTTGTTTTTTTAAATTAAACTTTGTCTGTTTATTTATTGCTCCTATTTTCTACATCTAGAACAGTGATTGGCCCATAGTAAACAATTTATTTTTTATTTTTTTAAATTAAATCTTTATTCAGATTATTACATTTGTTCCTCTTTTTTCCCCCCATAACTCCCCTCCTCCCAGTTCCCACCCCACCCTCTGCCCTCACTCCCCACCCACTGTCCTCATCCACAGGTGCACGATTTCTGTCCAGTCTCTTCCCGCATCCCTCAACTCCTTTCCCCCCCAAGAATAGTCAGTCCATTCCCTTTCTATGTCCCTGATTCTATTATAATCACCAGTTCATTCTGTTCATCAGATTATTTATTCACTTGATTCTTAGATTCACTTGTTGATAGATGCATGTTTGTTGTTCATAATTTGTATCTTTACCTTTTTCTTCTTCCTCTTCTTAAAGGATACCTTTCAGCATTTCAGATAATCCTGGTTTGGTGGTGATGAACTCCTTTAGCTTTTCCTTATCTGGGAAGCTCTTTATCTGACCTTCAATTCTGATAGCTTTGTTGGATAAAGTAATCTTGGTTGTAGGTTCTTGGCATTCATCACTTTGAATATTTCTTGCCATTCCCTTCTGGCCTGCAAAGTTTCTGTTGAGAAATCAGCTGACAGTCGTATGGGTATTCCGTTGTAGGTAACTGAGTTTCTTTCTCTTGCTGCTTTTAAGATTCTCTCTTTGTCTTTTGCTCTTGGCATTTTAATGATGATGTGTCTTGGTGTGGTCCTCTTTGGATTCCTTTTGTTTGGGGTTCTCTGCACTTCCTGGACTTGTAAGTCTATTTCTTTCCCAGGTAGGGGAAGTTTTCTGTCATTATTTCTTCAAATAGGTTTTCAATATCTTGCTCTCTCTCATTTTTTGTCACCCCTATAATTCGGATGTTGGTACGCTTGAAGCTGTCCCAGAGGCTCCTTACACTATCTTCGTATTTTCGGATTCTTTTTTCATTTTGCTTTTCCGGTTGGGTGTTTTTTGCTTCTTCGCATTTCAAATCTTTGCCTTGATTCTTGTGCTCCTCTGGTCTGCTGTTGGGAGTCTGTATAATTTTTTTTATTTCAGTCAGTATATACTTAATTTCTAGTTGGTTCTTTATCACAACATTGAGGGTCTCATTAGATTTCTTGCGGATCTCACTATATTTATCCCCAGTCTCACCAGTCTTTTCGAGGGCCTTACTAAGTTTATCGGCGGCTTCTAGACAGTTCTTGAGAGACCTTAAAAGTGTGGTTTTGAACTCTATATCCTCCATTTCTGTCATTTTTGTCCTGTTTCTTTGTCTTTGCATTTTTTATGCTTTCTTGGTGCACCCCCTGGTGGTCTTTGTGCGCAGTCTTGTTGTAGTTAAGCCTTGATTGTTGTAGGTAATACTCTATTTTTTTTGAATGAACAAATACATGAATGCATTTCTTGTCAAATCTTGCCATTTCTATTGCATTCATTTATTTTCCTCTGCCATTTAGAACTATTTTTATTTAGAATTATTTACTTTCTTTGACAATACAAATATACTGAATTTCCATTGTTGCAAAACGTTTGATGAGACAGCACTGCTTACACTTTTGTATTCCCTTTCCAATCCAGAACTTGTATTTCTACAATACATGTCTGCTCATGTCTGTCAATAATTCCCTATGCCATATAGAATTAAGTTCAAACTTCTTAGTGTAACCTTTAGAGTTTACAGTTTCATATAGTTAAAAATACATATCTTATAATGGGTACACTTATCAGCTGAGCCACTTAAACCCACTGCATGAATAGCATTTGTCTGAGCCATATTGCATTGCCCTTGTAGGGGAAAAGAGAAACTCATGAAAATAAGCTGATGATCCTTTGCTATGCCATGGAATAAAATATTTTGTTGCAATTGAGTAGTGTCATATCTTCTGCTAGCATACATGACACAGTAAAAGGCTAACTTGTTAGCTTATAAGGAGTGTGAAATCAAATCCCAGAGTAGACAGCATTTTCACATCACATTGAAAATTCTTTAAAAATCACCAAAAGATCTGCATAATATTTCATCAAATGTCTATACTGACATTTTTAATCTATAGTTCTGTTGTTATTTAAATTATTTACGCATTAGATTGCTGCTTTAAATGGCTTTGTAATAATTATCTTTGAGTGTAAATATTGGTGTCTTTAATTGACTACTAGAGCAGCGGTCGCCAACCGGTGGTCCGCAGACCACTGGTGGTCCAAAAGGTCTGAAAGGTTGGTGCCGCTAGTTTAAGGAAACCTTTGAGCAGGGGTCTCCAACTGGTGGTCCACAGAGTACTGGTGGTCCTTGAGGTCTGAAAGGTAGGCAGCCGCTGTCCTAGAGGCCCAGTGCACGAACTCGTGCACCAGTGGGTCCCTTGGCCTGGCCTGCAGGATCGGGCTGAAATCAGCTCTCTTACATCCCGAGGGGTCCTGGATTGCGAGAGGCACAGGCCAGGGTGAGGGACCCCACTGGTGCATGATCAGGGCCAGAGAGGGACGCAGGAGGTTGGCCAGCCAGGGAAGGACCACGGGAGGGCTCCAGGGTATGTCTGGCCCGTTTCGCTCAGCCCCAATCTGCGGGACCATTGCAGCAAGCTAACCTACCAGTAGGAGCATCTGCCCCCTGGTGGTCAGTGCACATTATAGCAATTGGTCTATTGGTCGACTCTCTGCCCCCTGGTGGTCAGTGCACATCATAGTGAGAGGTTGAGCAGCCTTAGCATATCATTAGCATATTACACTTTGATTGGTTGAACGGCCAACTGGACACTTAGCATATTAGGCTTTTATTATATAGGATTTCTTTAGGGTTCCTTTCTAGAATATAAAGTCCCAAGGAAGAAAAGCTTTCTTTCTTTTTTTCTTTTATACTAATGTATAGGGTCTACCCCAGACCAATGGAATCTCATTTTCTGATGGGGGTCCAGGAACCAGGTTTGGTTGTTTTTTTAAAATCCTCACAGGACATGTTTTTATTGATTTTAGAGAGAAAGGGATAGGGGAGGGGGGGTGGAGAGAGAGAGAAAAAAAACATGGATAGGTTGCCTGTCGTATGTATCCCAACCAATGATTGAAACCACAACCTGTTTATGTGTCCTAACTGGGACTCAAACCTGTGACCTTTCAGTGTATGGAATAACATTCCAACCAATTGAACTAAAGCAGCCAGGGCAAGAAATATTTTTTAATTAAAGCAATATATACTATTAATAAATTTCTTTTTCTTTAGGAGATATTTCTAAAGGAGGCATAAGTGAAATTACCCAATCCAACTTGAAAGCCGACATCACTACCACTTCTGGAGATTCAGGCATTGGATCTCATTTACCCTTGTCTTCTGAGGACTTTTCTCAGTTGGCTGTAAGATCTTCTGTGGAGAATACTATTGGTATACATACTAATACTCTCAACCAACAGAGATTGGCAAATGGTCATGTAACTGAAGAGACTCTACAAGCCTTACCTGTTCCAAAACTAGCTGACCAGAAGGCTGGAATTTCAACAGTACCCTTTAGTTCCTACTCACTAAGAGAGAAGCCCAACATTTTCTACCCACAGGCCTTGAGAGACAGTCATCAAATTGAAGAGGCTCTAAGAGTTTCAGCTGTTATTGGACCTGTTGACCAGAAGAGCGAGAAAACAACAGTACCTTCTAGTTCCTATACAGATAGAGAGAAGCACAATGTTTTTTCTCAGCCACTGCTATCAGACAGTGTTCTAACTGAACAGGCTCTGAACGGTTCATTTGTTCCTGGACCAGCTGATCAAGTGACGGTGATACCAACAGTTTCCTCTACTTTATACTCACATGAAGAGAAGCCCCATCTTTTCTATCAACAGCCATTTCCCGAGAGTCATTTAACTGAGCAGTCTCAACAAGCTGCTGCCATCTCTGGATTTGCTGGCCAGCAGACTGGGATACCAACAGGAACCTCAGCTTCTTACTCAAACAGAGAGAAGCCCCATATTTTCTATCAACAGACATTTCCAGAAAATCATCTAACTGAGCAGGCTGTGAAAGTTTCTGTTGCTCCTGGGTCTACAGAGCAGAAAACAGGCATACCAATAGTATCCTCTGCTTACTCACATAGAGAGGAGCCCAGTATTTTCTACCAGCAAGAGTTGCCAGTCAGTCATCCAGCTGAACAGTCTCAACAAGCTGCAGCTCTCTCTGGATTTGCTGACCAGAAGACTGGAACCTCAACTTCTTACTCACATGGAGAGAAGCCCCATATTTTGTACCAACAGACTTTGCCAGGGGGTCATCTAACTGAGCAGTCTCAACAAGCTGCAGCTGTTTATAGATTTGCTGACCAGAAGGCTAGGATACCAACAGGAACCTCTACTTATTCACATGGAGAGACCAGTTTTTTCTATCAGCAGAAGTTGTCAGATAGTCAACTAACTGAACAGGCTCAGAAAATTTCATCTATTCCTGGACAAACTGACCAGAACACTGGGATACAAACAGGACCATCTAGTGCCTACTCACATAGAGAGAAACCCATCATTTTTTACCAGCAGGAGTTTCCCGATAGTCATCTCACTGAAGAGGCTCTAAAAGTTTCATCTGTTCCAGGACCAGGTGAGCAGAACACTGGGATACCACCAGGTTCCTCTGGGTTCTACTCATTTGAAGAGAAGTCCAGTACTTTCTACCAACAGGCATTAGCAGATAGTCATCCGACTGAAGAGGCCCTGAAAGTTTCCACCATTTCTGGACCATCTGACCGGAAGCCTGGGATACAAACATTACCCTCTGCTTCCTATCCACATAGAGAGAAGCATATTATTATCTCACCACAGGCCTTGACAGAGAGTCACCTACTTGAAGAGGCTCTGAAAGTTTCAGCTGTTTCCAGACCAGCTGACCAGAAGACTGGGTTGCCATCAGAACCTCCTACTTCCTACTCACATAGAGAAAAGCCCATTTTCTACCCACAGGGCTTGACAGAGAGTCATTTGTTTGAAGAGGCTCTGAAAGTTTCAGCTGTTTCTGGACCAGCTGACCAGAAGACTGGGTTGCCATCAGAACCTTCTAGTTTCTACTCACCCGGAGAAGAGTCCAGTATTTTCTACCAGAAAGGGTTGCCAGATAGTGAGCTAGCTGAAAAGGCTCTGAAAGTCTCAGCTGTTCCTGGCACAGGTGATCAGAAACCTGGGATACCAACAGTACCTCCAAGTTCCTATTCACCTGGAGGGAAGTCCATTATTTTTTACCAACAGGCCTTACCAGATACCCTTCTCACAGAAGAGGCTCTGAATGTTTCTACTTCTGGACCAGCTGACCAGAAGACTGGGTTACCTACAGTATCCTCTACTTCCTACTCTCACAGAGAGAAGCCCATCATTTCTTACCAGCAAGATCTTACTAAAGAGGCTTTAGAAATATTAGGGGTTTCTGGACCAGCGGAGCAGAAAACTGGGATACCAGTAGTAACCTCTATTTCCTACTCTCCTGGAGAGAAGCCTATCATTTCTTATCAGCAAGAATTGCCAGATCATAATGAAGATGCTTCAAAACTTTTAGCAATTCCTGGATCAGTTGACCAGAAGACTGGTGTGCAAATTGTGCCCTCTTCTTCCTACTCATATAGAGAGGGCCCTATCATTTCTTACCAGGAGTTGCCAGATATTACTGAAAAAACTTTGGAAGTTTCAGCTGTTCCTGGACCAACTGACCAGAAGACTGGGATACGAATAATCCCCTCAGGTTCCTCCTCATATAGAGACAAGGGCAATATTTTTCACCAGCAGGAGTTGCCAGATATTACTGAGGAAGCTTTAAAAGTTTTTGCTCTTCCTGGACCAGTTGACCAGAAGACTGAGATACCAGAAGGATCTTCTAGTTCTTATTCACATAAAGAAAAACCCAGGATTTCAACTGTGATTTTACCGGATGACCAGAAAACTGAGTTTCCAACAGCTCCCCTCATTTCCTATGCACAGATAGAGAAACCCAAGAATTTAGCTGTGATTGAACCAAACGGCCAGCAGACTCCGTTACTGACAGTTTTTCGTAATTCTCACTCTCAGAGAGTAACACCCAGTATTTTCTTTAAACAGCATTTGCCAACTAGACAACATAGTGAAGACATTCAGAAGATCTCATCTGTTCCTGAATCAACTGACGTGAATTCTAGGGTACCAATACCTCTTCCTAGTTCCTATTCACACAGAGAAAAATCTAATATTGTCTGTCCGCAGGAATTGTCAGACAAACATCTAACTGAAGATGTACTGACAGTATCAACAATTCCTAAACCAGCAGACCAAAAAACTGTGTTACCAACAGCTCCTCCTCATTGTTTTTCACACAGAGAAAAACAGAATAAATTCTGTGAACAGAATTTGCCAAATGGACATCTAACTAAAGATGCCCTGAAGTTCTCAAGTGGTCTTAGGCAAGCTGATCAGATTACTGGGTTACCAGCAGTTTACCCTGATACTTATTCACATAGTGAGAAGCACAAGTTAGCTTCAGACCATGTCCAAAGGCCAAAAGATCATTTGGATTCTTCTAACTCTAGTATTATGTCAAACAATATGCCCTTAAATTCTCAAGCTGATGGTAGAGTTGTAATAAATAAGCCAGAACCTTCAGGTTTTGAAGATATTGGCTCTGAGGAATTCCAGGGTACAGATAATGGTTCTAAAACTCTTAAAGAGATTCGGACACTTTTAATGGAGGCAGAAAATATAGCACTGAAACGATGCAATTTTCCTGCTCCCCTTGTGCCATTCAGAGATGTTAATGACATTTCATTTATTCAATCTAAGAAGGTTGTTTGCTTCAAAGAACCCCCTACAACTGATAAATCTAACATTGATTTGCCTCAGAGACAGTCATTCACAAAAAAGAATCCAAACAAGTACCTACAGAAGGATATTAGTACACAGACAAATCTGAAATGCCAGGGAGACATTGAAAATTGGGAGTTTGTTAGGTCATCTACAGTTAGAAGTCCTCTACGGGAAGCAGAAATCAAAGCCAGAATGGCATTAGATGAAACTTTTAGGCAATATAAAGCAGCCAGACCTGTAATGAGATCTGAACCTGAAGGGTGTAGTGGAACCCTTGGGAATAAAATTCTTATCCCTATGATGACTATCATAAAAAGTGATTCAAGTAGTGATGCAAGTTCCTGCTCATGGGACAGTAATTCCTTTGATTCAGTTTCTGATGTTCTTCTAAACTTGTTTCCATGTACTTCACCGAAGACAAGTATGACAGATAGTAGAGAGGAAGAGTGTGTGTCAGAGAGTGATGAAGGGCGTGGTAGTAGTGTGGATTCACTGGCTGCACACGTGAAAAACCTTCTGAAATGTGAATCCTCATTGAATCATGCTAAACAAATTCTCAGAAATGCAGAGGAAGAGGAATGCCGGGTACGAGCACGAGGTAGGAACTGATTATTTGTTATAAAGGCAGATGAAGCTTATAAACATTGTAGTTTAGTAATTTATTTAAAGTTAAGTATTTGGCATTCTAAATTTATTTTCTTATAGAACTGTTAGGATGATTGCATTTTCTGCATCCAGAATAAGCCCATTTAACCAATGCAGCTAACTCACAGGATTAATAGTGCTAGTCTGAGTTTAGGGACTTAGGAAAAGTTAGTTCTGATGTCAGAAGGAGAGGAGAGTAAATAGAGAGCTTGAAGTTTCCTAACTCCCAAAGCGCTCATGTTTTCCCTAATCCTCCCATGATAGTGTCCTTATTTTGGAGGCAGAAAAAAACCACCCAATTTGCTCTGCTCTAAACCACTGTATAATAATAAAACTGTATATACTTTCTCATCCCCTTTGATAATAAAGTTCTAGGAGCAGATTTTAGGTAGACATTGGAAAAAACTAATCAAGGTATTTCACACTAGAACTTGGCTTAGAGGTTTTAAGAATATTTATTAATCCTTTTAATTGCTAATAGTAGAATTCCATTAAAAAAATATTCAGGACAATGTGGGGAATATATTTGGAAGGGTAACTTATAAGCAATCCAGACCTACCTGGGAATCTTTCCTTGAGATGAACTGCCTAAGCCATTCCTTTCATCACTTAAGCATATTTTGATTTGCCAAAAAAAACTCCCCAAGTTTTATTTATTTTAAAATATCAGCTCTTGTGGAAGTGGCAGAAATTGTAGCAGGAGCAAATGGGGAAGACAAAGGGACTGTTCTGATTAAAAGGAAGATTGGAATAAAAATGATTGAATACCATATTTAATTAAAATGGCCTTGTTGGAGAAAAATCTGTAGAATGTGTGTTTAAAAAAAATCAGACTCTTCAATGAAATGATCTCTTTCTAGAACTTCTAATAGTTTGTCATATAATTTAGAGCACACACTTTTTGCTAAGCATGTGGGAGCCATTAAATTAGGTATAATGATGATTTTTGTGCTCTTATAATCGTTGAAAAATTCTCACTTTTGCATTGTATTATCTCAAGTGTTTTTATGCTTTCTCTTTAGCCTGGAATCTGAAGTTTAATATGGCTCGTGAGTGTGGCTACTCCATTTCAGAATTAAATGAAGATGACAGGAGAAAAGTAGAAGAGATCAAAGCAAAGTTATTTGGCCATGAGAGAACTGACTTGTCCAAGGTATAAAAGAAATCTAGAAATGAAAAGAAAATGTGAAAGAAATAGTAGTAGAATTTGGATCTCTTATTTGGGTGTTGATGACTCTAGCTGAGTAACTGATAGTCTTTGGCTTAAAGTGTTAAGAGTCTTCTTCAAAAGATTAAGGATTTGATTCTATAGGTTTTGATTTATTCCAAATTGATCTGTTGAAAAAATTTACCTCTTTTGAGAAATAAGAGGATTACCTTTATCAATATTCTATGGGCCCAGTGCATGAAATTCATGCACGGGGGTTTGGGGTGGTGTCGCTCAGCCCGGCCTGCACCCTCTCCAATCCAGGACTCCCCCAGGGGGATGTCCGGCAGTTGGAAATCCCTCTTGTAATCCCAGACCACTGGCTTCTAACTGCTCACCTGCCTGCTGGCCTGACCCCCCTAACTGCTCTCCCCTGCCAGCCTGATCCTCCTAGCTGTTCTCTCCTGCCGGCCTGATCACCCCTAACTGCCTTTGCTTCGGCCCTGCCACCATGGCTTTGTCTGGAAGGTGGTCCGGAAGACGTCTGGTCTAATTAGCATATTACCCTTTTATTAGTATAGATTGTTGTCACTCTTATTTCTCTTGAAGGTGATATCTTGAGATGCTGATAAAGTCCAGCTATTTTCAGATGTATATCCTCTGCTTAGGAACACGGACCTAAAATAGTCTATGTATAAACCACTTCCTTTCTAATAGTACTTATTTTCCTCCTACTGTTTCATGATTACAAAATAGATATGAAACATGTATGTAAGGAATAAAGTGAAATTCCTATATATCAGCCATTCAGCTTGAGAAATAGAATGTTACCAGTGACACTGAAGTCCTGTGTGTACCCTTCTCCAGTCATATCTCTTTTACTACTTATAACATGTGTTGATTTTCTTGCTGTTCAGTATGGTTTTTAATTCTATAATATATGGAATTAACATGATATATATTCTTATGAGAATTGTTTTTCATATAATCTTAGGTTTTTTGAGATTTTTCTATGTAGCTATAGTTTATTTTTTATTTTTGGAAGTAGTTCAGTGTGTGAAATTATCAGTTTGTTCTCTTGTTGATGGGGCATTTGGTCTGCTATTATGAGTAGTAATAGGGTGTAATAATACCTGTCTTAGAGAGTTTGGGTATGGCTTACAGGAAATAATGTCTGTAAAATACTTAGTAGACTGTGTGATATCTAATTAGTGTTCAGTAATTGTCAGCTCTTATTATTAAATCTGCAAAAGTCAATATAGCTATCGTATGTGTAGACTTTTTTTAAAAATCCTCACCCAAAGATATGTTTTCATTGATTTTAGAGAGAGAAGGGAACGTTGATGTGAGAGAGAAACATTGACCTGTTGCCTCCTGTATGTGCCCTGGGGGATTGAACCCACAACCTAGGTATGTGCCCTGATTGGGAATTAAACTTGCAATCTTTTGGTGGATGGGATAACACTCCAACCAACTGAGCCACCCAGCCAAGGCTTAGACAATTTACTTTTAAAACAATTATTGATATAGTTGGTTGGTATCTTCCACATTCGTTACTGTTTTCTACTTGTTGCCCTTGTTCTTTGTTTCCGGTTTTGTCTTCCACTCTTTCTGCCTTTTGTGGTTTTATTTTTTATTTTTTTTAAATATATTTATATTTTTATTGATTTCAGAGAGGAAGGGAGAGGGAGAGAATGATGTAAACATCAATGATGAGAGAGAATTATTGATCAGCTGCCTCCTGAACATCCCCTACTAGAGATCGGGCCTGCAACCTAGGCATGTGTTCTTGACCGGAATCGAACCTGGGATCCTTCAGTCTGCAGGCCAATGCTCTATCAAGTGAACTAAACTGGCTAGGGCCCTTTGTGGTTTTAATTGAGCATTTTATGATTACATTTTCTCTCATTTTTTAGGATGCCAGTTATACATATATTTTCTACATTTTCAATGATTGCCCTAGAATTTGTATCACATACTTACGACTACATCAATTTCAAATAACACTGTACCACTCACTTCACAGGTAGCGTGGTATCTTCTAATAAAATAATCCTAATTCTTCCTTCCTGTCATTCCTGTCATTCAGTTCATACACACACACAAGCATGCACGCACACGTACATGTACATACATGCATACATAGCAATGTTTCAAACTATATTTTTGGATCAGTTTGGTATAAGAAAAAGGTTGTATTTGGTTTTTTTACCTTCACTGTTTCTTTCTTTGATGTTCTTTCTTTCTTAATGTAGATCTGAGTTTTTGACCAGTATTTTTCTCTGTTAAGTTTTTCTGTTAACATTTGTTGCATCTACTGGCATAAATTCCCTCTATTTTAATTTGTCTGAAAAAGTCTTATTTCTTGTTCAGTTTGAAGGGTATAGAATGCTAAGTGGGTTGGATTTTTTTCTCTCAACATTTTAAATACTTCACTCTATTCTCTTCTTGCTTGCATGATTTCTGCGGAAAAGTCAGGTGTAATTCTTTGCTTTTCTGTAGATAAGGTGTTTTGTCCCCTTGCCTTATTTCAAGATTTTTTTTCTTTATGTTTGCTTTTCTTTACTTTGAAAATGTTATGTCTAGGTGTAGTATTTCTGGTTTTGTGGGGGGTGTTTTGTTTTGTGGGGGGTGTTCTTTTTGGTTTTCTTCTCTTTTTGGTATTTTTGTTGTTAATGTATTAATATCTTGTCCTGGAGTCCTTTGATGTTTTGGTCTGGGGTTTTTCCTTCTTTTACATTTTAGTTTTGGAGGTTTCTGTTGAACTCTCCTGAAGCTCAAGATTCTAGCCTTGGCCATGTGCAGTCTACTAAAGAACCTATCAAAGCATTCTTCGTTTCTGTTACAGTGTTTTTTATCTCTAGCATTTCTTTTTTCATTCTTTCTTAGGATTTTCATCTCTCTGCTTACATTGTGTTTGTGTTCTTGCATGCTATTCACTTTATCCATTAGAGCCCTTAGCATATTAATCATAGTTATTTTAAATTCCTTGTCTGGTAATCACAATATTCCTACTATATCTAGTTATATGCTTGCTCTTTTTTTTCTTTGTAGTATGCTGTGTTGTGGAGCCTGTAGCTGGTGTATTAAATTAAAAAATTCAGATTATAATCTCTTGAATGTAGGCACATACTACCCACATGGGCTAGGCAGGTAGCTTTCTCAGCATCAGAGCTTCCACTTTGGGGAACTGAAAAACCTCCAGGGTCATTTTGATTAAAGGCATAGTTTTAATACACTTACACAAAGGAAGTAAAGTCACAAGAGTTATTACTTACAAATCTCAGAAGCCTGGGTGAGTGGGCAGGCTGAGGGATGGACAGTCCTCCTCATGAGCAGGAGATAAAAGAGCAGGGTAGCAAGCACTAACTACTTATAAGATGGTTGAAGTGGCGGTCAGTGACTTTTCACAGACTCAGTTCTAAGTGGTTATTTTTAAAGGTGGCGTGGGAAAAGCAAAGAGAGAACTTCTGGCAGGAATCCTAAATTCAGGGCCTTATCTAACTGTCTATGCTCTGAGTGTGAACAGGGTTGTCATACTGTAAAATATCTAGGCAGCAACTCAAAATAGCTGTTTTCTCATCACAATTGACCCTATGATGCCTAGGCATTAGTGTTTAGGGAAAATCAAGGGCGCTGTCTAGATGGTGCAGATACCAACAGCCACTGGCAGGATTTTGGTCACCTAGCATATGAAACATTTGAGTAAAGCAAAAATGCCAAAGAGAACATCAATAGATAAATGATAGTTTGAAATCCTGTTCATAACCATCCCCTCATTTGTTGGGGTGCAGCCAAGAAAATAAATCAAGGCCCATGGATAAGGTAGGTATTTGATTAAAACTTGGGTGAGATTATGGAATATTGGTACCTGTTGGGTCATCTTTTGTAGATTTATTTTGTCCAGTATTGTTAATATATATGCAGCAGGTGATAGACTCATAGTACATATACCTCGTTCCTTGGCCAATAAATAATTTAAAGCTAAACGGTTATCCAAAACCATCTGCACTAAAAAATCATGTTGCCCTGGCTGGTGTGGCTTAGTTGGTAGGAGCATTGTCTCATACACTGAAAGGTCACAGGCTTGATTTCCAGTCAGGGCACATTCCGTAGGTTGTGAGTTCAATCCCTGGCCCTGGTCATAGTTTGTGCGGGAGGCAGCCAATTAATGTTTCTCATTTCTCTCATCTCTCCCCCCGCCCCCCATCTCCCTCCATCCCTACCTTCCTGCCCCTTTCTCTAAAAATCAGTGAAAAAATGTCCTTGGGTGAGGATTTGTGAAAAAAGGAATCATGTAATCATGTTGTTGCATTATGGTTTGGTGTACAGCTTAATATTTTCAGCCAATGTGGTTGACAGGTTGGTGTTTGCCTTAATAACTTGTTATGTGTCTGTTCTGGTGGTGTGTAATCCAGTTCCTATGAGGGATAGTAGCAGACCTACTTCCAAACAATGGGGATGAATACCACATGCTCTTTATGTGAGGGGCAGAAAAAGAGATGGACTGAGGGTCCTGTTTAGTGATTTATGGAAGGGTAGCCCTAGAGAGAGTAAAATACATATAGAACTCTGTGGGGTTGGCAAAGAGCTTGAGGGGAAGATAAGTACACGTGTGAAGAACCATGAATGTATAATGGACCTAGGGTACTAGACACAGTGGTCACTAACTGTGTGATTGGGGAGCTGATATAATTTGGGGTTCCCCCTGGGTGATTGGGCTGCGAGGTCCATTGCTGTAGGGGTTGTGCTCCTTGGGACAAGTTATAGATCATATTCTTTCTTGTGTTGGTGCCTGGGCAGATATGGAGGATTATAAAGGGCATGTGGGGGCTCCTGCCAAGTGCCACATACTGTATGGCAAGTGTACTGCATGGAAGCAGTTGAGTATTTGTACAAGTTGCAAGGTTACATGGGGTGTCTTCTGTTGGGAAAATGGGGGCAGTGTTAAAAAAATCAGTCAAGTAAGCCACTAACTGGGGAAAAAGATTTTGTTGACCCTGATA